ATCACCTTGCAAACCTCCCGCCGCGCCCCCCCGCCCCCCGCCCGAGCATCCATGAGGAAAGTGCAGAAGGCTCACACAAAAGCCCAGTTTCAAACGAATGCATTTCATGCAGATGTGAGCTTGCAAAGCAATGAACATTCCAGCCTCTGCCCAGCAAAATGCGTGTTTAAAACAGCAAATGGGAGAGTTAAACAAATGTTAAACTTCTGTACTTGGTGGTGTATAAACTCTGTTTACAGAGCAAGTTTTGTGACTGGTGTCCTCAGAAGGCTCACACAAAAGCCCAGTTTCAAACGAATGCATTTCATGCAGATGTGAGCTTGCAAAGCAATGAACATTCCAGCCTCTGCCCAGCAAAATGCGTGTTTAAAACAGCAAATGGGAGAGTTAAACAAATGTTAAACTTCTGTACTTGGTGGTGTATAAACTCTGTTTACAGAGCAAGTTTTGTGACTGGTGTCCTAATGTTAGAGACGCTAATACTGCAGGTAAGAGTCAGGCTGACTTATAGAAACAGGTTCTCTAAGAGGAGTCCAATTCAGGTTGATGCTTAGACATTTTCTTTCACATTACTTGATCGAGGGAAGCACTTTTTCAGGAGAATTAAATTGCTTTAATTTCCTTCAGTTCACGATAAAGAGCTGGTTTCATAGAAAAAAAATCCTATATATTTAGCTGGGGATTCTTAACTCAATGAAAAGGGCTTTGGCTGTAAAACTCATTAGCCAGAATGATAAGAAACCTATCTAAAGCTCTAGGCAAATCAAAACCAAAGCTAAGCAGCTGCATCTGTATTTAAAATTAAGAGTTGCACCTTTTGAGTATGTCTACACAGTGGAGATATTTCAGGATACTGAGGAATCCTGAAATAGTTACCCCGTGTCTTAGAAACGCGCCCATTATTTCGAAATATTTTTCAAAATAACGGGCGCACTATTTCGCCATCACTGGAAACCTTGTTGCACGAGGTTTAAGGGATGGCTCAAAATAGCCTATTTCAAAACAGACTCGTAAGTTTTGTGTGCTGTGTAGATGCCCCATTTTAGACCAAGTCTGAATCTAGCTTTTCCCTTTAAAAATCCAGGGAAAGCGATTAGTGGCAGGGACATTTTGAAGGAAGCTATTTGTAAGCAAATATGGGAAATGCTCACAGAAAGCAAATTCTGAATTTGTAAACACAAGTATCGGAACTGAATTTTGAGTCAAAGATTTGGGCACATCCTGCGTGTCTAGCCAGATTTTAGCACGTACTTTGAACCAACAACTAGTAAACAATAGCAAATATACTTGGAGCAAAGAATTCTGCTAGTGAATAATCCACTTACTGTGGAAACTTCTTAGTAAAGGGTTTTGACTAACCAATGAATTTGATGAAGTCAATAGCTGCTTGTAGAAATCTGCCAACAGCAAGAGAGAAACATTTGTCATCTGAGGTCCCAATCCTGCAAGCTCCTCTTTGGGAGCAGACCCATAAGTTTACACAGAGCCCCACCGCCATCTCTATTGATTTGAGCTGGGTACGCAAGTTTGCACAACAAGGGTCTACATGATTGACTGTGAATGGCTCTCTCCACTGTAATCCCCCAGAGTCCTACATTTGCTGATTATGCTACAATAAGAATTAGCCCAAACTTTTACTCAAAACTTGACCTGAATTTAAACCATTCCACCCTACCCCACCCTTGAGAGATAAACAAAGTACAAGAACCAGACAATGACAATACCAACGAATGCCCCTTGCCACTTCCCGGTTGGGACCTAGCTAGGAACGGCAACTGTCAGAAGGGGCTGACTCCAAATATGTGGTTTGTCCTGCCCAAGATGTCCTGAGCCTCTCCGTGGCATTGGGGTAGTTCTATGCCATGGGCCACTCCTGGCGAGATGGAGATCCCTCCACGATGGCTTCCGCAGAGGCAGCACTGGGGGTGTCTCTCTCAAAGCTGCACTGACCCACCAAGTGATTCTTGGCTGGTACCACATGAACTTCCTTGACTGTGAAGAGGTGGGGAAAGGAAGGAAAGTGGACAAGGGAAACACTGGCTCCAACAGTTCTTAAAGGAGAGTGCAGTTCGGATTCGCTCACACGCAGGGGCAGCGGGATCGTCCCAATCTGCTCCCTTCCAGCGCCAGGCATTTGCACTCCCTTAGAGGCTCAGCAATGGGTTTGCCCCTCCCCTGCCACACGCGCTGGCTCACGCAGGCCTTCTCTCAATGCCTTGCCGTGCGTCTCACCATCCTCAGCCAGGGGCTAGGGACCCGGAGAAGCTTTTATTGCACAGACTGTTCTCCAAGCAGCTGGGCCGAATTCCTGGTCACCTCTGAAGAGAGAGGAAACCAGGCCACCGCCAAGGAAAATCCACATGGCACCAGGGGACCTCACAGGGAGCATCCAAATTGTCCCATCGAAGTTAGGGTGTGACTTGCACAGAAGAAGCAGGACACAGACCCTGTCATGAGGGAAACCACACGGACCTTACATTGCACGCAAAGGTGGGGACCCCCACATGAAATCCCTTTGTCAAGATACTGCCTCCCTCCGCACAATGGGGACATGGTTGCTTCTGGAGCTATGCCTTGAGGGTCGTGCCCAAACTGTGCCCCTCCACCCTCACCCCAGATAGGGTGGTTTTCAAAGTATGAACAAGAGAAAGCTGTAGGGCTCACCGCTAACTTGATCAGGGCCACCTCTTGCAAGGTTGGGTTTTCCTGGGGAAGAAGTCACCAAATACAGACCTTCCCCGAGCCTGTCCCCACTCTTAACAGCTACTGAGAAGGACGGGGAAGAGGAAGAGCTGTGCTTCTATTCCACGTGGCCAAGAACAGTTCCCTTCTCTTCCTTTTGATAGAGGGGAATATTTGCCCTTTAATAACTATCCTTGCATCAAAGAATGTTCAGGGGTCACGAGCTGGAGATTAGCGACTTTCATTGAGCTGGGCACAAGAGAAAGGGAAAAATAGAGGCAGCTAGTCTTGCCTGAGTTTCATCTGTCTCAAAATTAACAAGGGCAGAAGGAAGAAAAAAAAAGTCAGGGTCTCTTGATCTGTCTCTCCAAAGTCCATACTTCCCCCTTCCCCCCCCCCCCCCCCCCCGCAGCGACCCTCCACAGGAGGCATTTCTACCCATACTGTATTGTAATTAATAGGCTACTGCTAAACTTTACCAGCACCTACTTAATAGCGTTTCAGTGCCGGGAACCAGTCAGCCAGTCATCTAGCCGTGATCTACGGCACCCTTTCTAAACACAGATCCCAGCTGCCAAGTGCGTCACCATAAAAAGTTTTCAATTAGTACCACTCCGCTCCTGCTGTCAAATGCTTCAGGATGGGCAAGGTAAGGGGGAAAAAAAAAAAGACTGAAATGAGCAAATGGGGATTCAGTAAGGCCTCATCCTGCAATTGTGTATGCACTTAAGTAACTTTATTCGTGCAAAATGTTCTCTCTCAATTCATCGAGGCTCCTCCTGTGCCAAAAAGTTGACACACTTGTGTAAGCATTTCCAGGTTCATGCTCTAGTTTGCTTTTGGTAGAGCACTCAAGCCCATCTAAAGGATATTTGACGGGGGCTCCAGTCCTGTACTGGCAGAAAAAAGAACAGGAAAAAAAACCTTTGCCCTGTTCTTGCTTAGTCTGTACCTACATGGCTCGATTGCACCAGCCTCTTTTTTCCCCTGCCGTGAAATGAGAAAGTGTCAATAATACCAAATGAAACTAACCTTTGCGCCTCTAGTTCACGTGTCCATTGTCCTAAAGTACAGAGTAAATCAAATCAAATTAGCAACTCGTTTTCCTCCAGGGGTTTTTCATACTCTATGGCTATGTCTAGACTGCAGGCTTCTTTCGAAAGAGGCTCTTTCGAAAGCATCTTTCGAAAGAGCCTCTTTCGAAAGATCGCGTCTAGACTGCAGGCGGATCTTTCGAAAGAAAAATCCGCTTTTTCGAAAGAGAGCACCCAGCGAGTCTGGATGCTCTCTTTCGAAGACGGCCTCTTTACATTGAAGAACGCCTTCTTTCGAAAGAGGAACTTTCGAAAGAAGGCGTTCTTCCTCGTGAAATGAGGTTTACCGCCATCGAAAGAAAAGCCGCGTTCTTTCGAAATAATTTCGAAAGAACGCGGCTTGAGTCTGGACGCAGGGGAAGTTTTTTCGGGAAAAGGCTACTTTTCCCGAAAAAACCCCTGAGTCTGGACACGGCCTATGAGAGCGGAGGCTGTACATCTGTGGCGTCCACCCAGTTCTGAAGCAGTAGCTATTAGAGTGGCTCCTGCTACAGCAAACTAGCCCCGTTATTCTGAAAATGTAAATAATTTTGTGAGCCAAGGAGCCACACTCAACCGGCCAAATAGCCACATGTAGCTAGCGGCCAGCATGTTGCACACCACGGCTGTACATCAAGATCTGCAAGGGCTTCTCTCTCTCTCAAAAAAAAATGGAAGATACTAATCAGGATAATTCCTAGTCACTGATTCATTAACTCACAAAGCAAAAGATTCACTGGAGAGATGGCCAACCCTGGCCAGATTCTGAGCTGGTGTAGCTCAGAGTAGATGCACCGAAGTCAATGGAGTTATGAGGAATTGAATGCCAGCCGATGAACTGGTCACCACTGTTGTTTTCTCCCATGCGTACGCCACCTGCAGCTGAGAGGCTAGTCCCGTAGATGATCACACAAGAAAGCTTTTGCTATACATGTTTTCAGCTCCATGGATAGGGGGCGGAGCAGAGGTGACAGCTGCCCCAGGGCCCAATGATGTAAAAGGGCCTGGGGTTCCTGGCCACAATGGCAACAGCTAGAGCCCTAGGCCCTTTGGATCACTGCTGAAGTCCCAGGTGGCATACAGCGGGATGCACTGAAAGGCTGGTGGGGGGAAGGCTAGCTGCCAGCCCTGCCCCTTCTGCCCAATGTCCTGCCCCTTCTGGGGACCCAGACCCAGACCCATCCCTTCCCCTCCACACCTTGCCCAGGGCTGGCCAATTCTGTCAGCCATCCTCTATACTACCAGCACATCTGTGCTTTTATAATGTGCAATGTTAAAAGCCTGCTTCTTTTAGAACTGTGGCTGAATCTCGTCAGATTCACTCCTAGGCTACCTACTGACCTAGAAGCTAGGTTAAAAATGTTATTTGTAAATTATTACAAAAAAAAAAAGGTGTGACCAAGTAGAAGAAGGTGTATGCCTACTGGGGAGTCTCTACGAAGCCAGTGACTCAACACAATTACGAAATAACAACAAATTAACAATTCTAAAAAAAAAAAAATGTGCTTCATAATTTAAGTAAAACAACATCACAAAGTCTCAAACTTACCACAGGAGGCCCCAAGACTTATGAAACTAAAGCTCTTGTTATGTGGTACAGTGTTACACATACTTGTTGTACACATTCCAGTAAACACAGAAGCCATGGGCATAGCTCACCCTAGGAAGTGATTTTGCAAGGAATAGTGACTTTGATTTGTGCTCCTCAATCCCTAAAACAAAAACAGCTCTGCTTTAAAAAAAAAAAATTGTTCATTCTGTAGAATTCAGTTCCCCACACCTGCTATTGTCCCACCCGTAGCTATACATTTGAAAGGGCTCACCTCTGAAATGTTTCTATCTATTTGCCTGAAATTATTCATTTACCAGTGAGGGGCAACTCGTGATGTTAAAGCACCTACTGGAGTTGAGTGAAACCCAACGTATGACATGATGTACAGCTAACTGGGACTGAAATGGACTGCCTTTCAAATTCCCACAAATAGGCAAAACAGACTCCCAAAAAAAATAAAGACAGCAACACCACAAAACTCTCTCATCCTTTCCCTTTCTTCCTTCCATTCTTACACCAGGCAGAGTGACTGAGGTTGGGTTCATACAATAAGGTTAATAATAATAATTAAACAACAGCAACAAACAACAACCACAAATTAAAAAAAACACAGGTGGGCCAGTGAAACGTGGGATTGTAAGTGCAGTAGTTCTTCATGTGCAGTTCTTCTACTTCATAAGAGTCCCCTTTGGATGAGAAGGCCTAGTGGAATGTATGTTCCCCTCGGACAATATGCGAGGAGAACTCATAGCGGTCCTGGCTTCTATACCCACAGATGTTGCATTCTAAAGGGTCCCGGTAGCCATGACAACCCATGTGGATGGTGTACATGACGTGGTCTAGGAAAAGAACGCGACAGTGCTCACACTTAAAGGCTCTGATTTGCTCCCCTTCTCCATTGAAGACCTTGTAGATATCCTTTAAAGAGCCCTTAGAAGTCTTTGTGGCATCCAAAGCCTGGGTGTCCTCCTTCATGTAAGCTGGGCTTTGCTTCCTCTTGGGATTTAAGGCAGGGTTTCCTTGGTAGGACTGGCGGTCTTCATGGCTGCTCTCTGAGTCAGTAGAATCCAGGCAGCTATTGCTGGGGGAGGCCTCTCTTTCCTGGGGTCGACTCTTTGGTCTGATGAGGGAGATGGGGCCATCCATGTTGTTTTCATGACTGTCAGCTGTTTCCCTGCTAATGGGCCTTTCTATCCGGTTCGGATGATAGACCTGAGCGTAAGCTGAGCTGATGACCGGGGCCACCTCTGCCATTGTGCTTGGCGGGTGCTGTATCAGGGGGTGAAGTGCATCAGCTCCAAGGTAGGTGATTGCATTGTTGATGGCTTGGTCCATCATGTGAGACTGCATCAGCTCAGCCTCCTTCTCGTAGGTTAAGTTCATATCAAAGTGGATATCTGGATAGCCGAATCTCATGAGCTTTTCACCTAAAGGCAAGAACAAAGTGGGTGAGGGAAAAATAAAAGTCACCTGCACATGCGACTGAAATAGAGAAGAAAAAACAAGCCCTGTGTAAAGCATCATGTTTAAGGCAACCATCTTATCTTCTCTGATCTCCTGTATATCACAGGTCACTAATATGCCACCCAACCATCCCCACACCAAGCCCAACCACCACAATCACACGAAGGTATTGCAGCCATCCAGGGAATAAACGGGGGTGAACCACAGGCAAAATACAGGAGAGACCAAGATGCACTAGCGCGTAGGCCTTTGAAACGATAGGGAAAGGGTTAAGTAAGATATATTCAGATCTCCCTAGCAGGTGATCTCTGCTCCACGCAGCAGAAGAAAGCAAAACTCCCCTGAGATCTCTTTCCATCTGACCTGAGGGAAAATTCCTTCCCCCACACAGCAAGCATTTAGGCTCTAAATGCGTAAGAAAGAGCCACCTGGAAACATAAAAAGAATGCTCCATACTACCTCAGACCACCACCTAGCCCCTTCCGTGTCCATCTCTGAGGCTTCCAAGGAGCAAGCAACAATCAAAAACAAAAATCAAAAAACCAACCCAAACCCACAGAATGCACTGGAGAAAAAAAAAAACATCACTGCCCCCTATAGAGACCCAGTGTGGGTTCCTGACCTGAGGGTGCAATTCACGCCCAGGCAGAAAGGCAGCACCAAGTACCATTCAAGTGCCACTTAAGACCTAGAAACCAAAAATAGAGATGATGGGTGCGTCTACACTGCACCGTTATTTTGAGATCGCTAGCGTTATTTCGAAATAACAATGCGAGCATCTATACAGCCATTCCGTTATTTTGAAATAATTTCAAAATGATGGCTTATTCCGAAATCAGTAAACCTGATTCTACGAGGAATAATGCCTCTTCCAAAATAGCAATTTCGAAGTAAGGCGTGTATAGAGGCTCCACTGCCGCTATTTCGAAATAGCCCCTCCCCAGGGCCATTCTAAGGAATTCCTCCTGGGGCTCTAAATCGAGACAGAATGTCTACATTAGGGGAGCCTGCCTCGGACTCATTTTGAGGCTTCCCTGCAGCGTAGACATGCTATTTCAGAATAACCATTCCAGAATAGCTTATTTCGAAATAGCCGTGCAGAGTGGATGTACCGTATGTCAGTCCTCTGCCCAGGGTTGGAATTGGTCCCTGAGTGTGGGCACTCTTGAGTCTTATCTCTAGATAAGCCTGTTATTGGTAGAATTCCAGACTTGCTGGAAACTGACGGATGATGTTCTCTCTGTGCCCCAAAAGAGGAAATAGGGGACCAGCTCCTCGGCTAAGGGAAAACAATGCAAGCCCATGATTTCAATGGAGCTACACACATTTATACCACCTGACTAATAGGCCCCCAAAAGGGGTTTTCTTTTTCAGTGTAAGATTAAATCTGCCATGGTGCAGAGGCACCAGCATGAGACACCCAACATGGCTTGCATCTCACCGTGGGGCTGTCACCTATGGCCATATAGGGACCGAACAAACGAGCAGTCCCCCAAGAGTGCTGATGCAGTGGCCTGTAGAGGTGGTGACAGGGTGGGAAGGGTTGCCTCTGCCCATTCACTGCCATAGCAGATGCAAGTGGGAGGCTGAGCTGAACGCACGGGTCTTAGGTTGGGGGTGAATTTTGCATTTCACAGTTATTCAGGATAAAAGAGGCATCTCAGTATAAATATAACAGAAATCATGTGTCTTAGCTCAGTTTACCCACAGCAGAAGCTAAACTAATATTACTTTCATGGACATACGTCTATAAGGTATGATTTACCAATGTGGGACTCCAAATGTAGTCGTGCATAGCCCTGCTAAAACAGTGAAGTGTAAAAAAGGAACAACATAGTAGTGAATCATGCTAATTACGGGTCAAATTCAATTCTGACAAAGTTCATCTCTACTAATATGAACAGTGTTAGTTCTACTTATACCTAGACATACTCTTGCCCCATGTCTTTTCCAATTATATTATTTCATGATGTTATGTAAACGGGAAGGTCAATTTACAACTCTTAAAAAAAGTCTTGTTCTGCTTTTTTAGTTGAAAAGTTAAAGTTATGTTTTAAAGTCTCAGAGGCGTAGCTGTGTTAGTCTGCAACTTAAAAAAACAACAAAACAAGTAACCCTGTAGCACCTTAGGCTATGTCTACACTGCAGCTCTATTTCAGGATAGAATTCTGAAACAGCTATTTCGCGTCTTTTGAGCAAGCCCGTTATTTCAAAATATAACTGGCTCTCTATTCTGACATCCCTGTAAACCTTGTTCCACAAGGAGTACGGGACATTTTGGAATAGCGCTCTATTTTGAAATTAACTTTAAATAAGCTACGCAATTGGCATAGCTCAGTGTAGAAGCACCCTTAGAGACTAACAAAAATATATAGGACTATTTTTGTTCATCTCTAAGGTGCCACAAGACTACTCATTTTGTTGTTATTTTTTAAAGTAGCTGGATAGTGGTTTTTATCATCAACATTTCACTAATTTTCATTCTCTTGCCATTCCATCACCCAACTGAGATGTACATATTCTCAACACGAGAAAAAAAAACAGGAAGTCACTATTTCATCTGTCCAGGAACTTAAAGCCCTCAAACTTCTTTTTAAAATGTTGGCAAATTTGCTTGAGGTAAAAAAAGCAAATATGCCAACAAAAGACACAAATATAGGCAGAGTCTTAACTCTCCCGAAAGAAACTTCAGGATAACCACACTTGATTTTCAGTCACCTGTAAGTTTATTCCATGCCATTTAGGGAAGTGAATGGTTAACCGGCGGTGCTTGCCTCCACCTAGGCCCGAGCAGCCCCCACCTGCGGTGGACCCCGGCTGGAGCAGTGCATTGCAGGCAGGGATGTTGTAGCCCTGCCAGAATAGCCCCTGCTCCAGCCTGCCTTCAGTGCCCCAGCTAGACTGGAGTGACCCCTCTTCTCCGCCCACCTTCATTTAAGTGGTTAACGGCTAAACACAATGCTTATCCAGTTAACTGATTAAACAGGATTTTACATCCCCAATGCCATTTTCTTCTCTTAAAATGATGCGTACAAGCCTTTGTTCCTTTCACGTGCCCCATTTAATAACTCCACCAGACACAGACCATGCACTCAAGTTGCTGCATTGCTCTGTTCCTTCAGTTATGAACTGGAATGTTTCACCATAACGGCAAAGATCTTGGGCTGAGTTTTTAAAATGGAACCTGACCTACAATCATGCTAAAATGCACAGGGACCATACATTTTCAATTCACCATATGTGCCACACCAGACAAAAGAAATATTTGCCGCCCACTTCGACACCTGTTCACGTGGCTTTCTTTTTTAAAATCAATTTCTTCTTGGTCAAAGAAGTGTTCAAAAGTAATTTGTCAGATTTATCAAGTTAGGATTATGGGGCAGCAGGTTTAAAACAAACAAAGGAAATGCTACTTGACACAATGCATAGTTAACCTGTGGAACTCCTTGCCACAGGATGTTGTGAAGGCCAGGACTTTAACAGGGTTCAAAAAAGAGCTAAATAGATTCATGGAAGATAGGTCCATCAATGGCTATTAGCCAGTATGAGTAAGAATGGTGTCCCCAGCCTCTTTCCGATGCTGGGAATGGGTGACAGAGGAGGGATTGCTTGATGATTCCCTGTTCTGCTCATTTTCTCTGGGGGCACTTAGCATTGGCCACTGTCAGAAGACAGGATATTGGGCTAGATGGACTTTTGGTCTAACCCAGTATGGCCATTCTTATGGATCTTCCATTCTAGTTATTCTCACTCTGTAGTAACTGAAAGATGATGCGGTATCCCCCTCTGTTATCGTATTGTGCATTGCCAAACAAACCACACATTTATAGCCAGATCAAGAACACAGAAACTGCAAAACTGGATGAGGCCCATGCTCCACTATGCGGTCTCAGTACCAGATGCTTCAGAGGCAGGTGCAAGAAACCCTGCATAGGCAATTATGAATAAGCTGACCACAACACAAGTTTCTTCCCAACCCCCATGAACTATAGCGGGATGCTCTGAAGCATGAGCATTTTTCTCTCTTCTGCAACTCTTTGCATTCTGTCATCCTTATTATAACTATACTAGATATTAGCATAAAGCTTACATGTGCCCAGTCCTCTTTTGAACCCTGATTAGTTCGTAGCATTATTGACCTCATGTGGCAATGAATTTTACCATCCAATTGTGCATTATTTTGAAAGAGT